TAATTGAGATAGGACAAGCGATTTTCACTGATGACGGCGGTATGGAGGGTAAGCTAAGATAACCGCGATATACTTTACGGCTCCAACGCAATACATTACCGAATTGTTTGCGTGCGATGAGATGTTTGTCATAACGGTATTCATGTTGTGGATCATGCGATTCATAAGACACCTGCTGTTTCAGTTTCACTTCACAGTCGGTGATGTCAATGGACGATTCGTTGTTGATGTAGAGGACGAAATGAATTTTTTGGCCGGGTGCATAACCGCAGTAGGGTGTGGAGAATTTCACAGTTAAGGGGCCTGTGGGGCAGCAAAAGCTCCAGAAGCGCTTGCGATCGAGGATTTCGAGAGGGACCTGAAATGGAAAGGTAATTAATTTATTATCTGGTAAATATTCGAAGGATAATCGTAAGTATGTATATACGAAGTAATTCGACAAAGCTTGCTAATTTTAAAATACTCTGAATCCTACTAATATGTGTGCAATAAATGTGAAAGCGTCACCAGCATTTTATATGGAAAATGATTTTTTATTTTCGGTCAATTTCCATATACATAGATAAAATTCAAAATATTTAAATCATTTTGCACTTAATTTGCTTTCGTGAAATTGGCTGTAAGCGTATTACAATGACATTTAGCACACAGAGAGGTTACCACCTGGATTTACGAACATGCTTGTAATTTTTTGAAGAGCGTTGCCACCTTGTTCTAAGTTTAAATTAATGAAATAAAAGGTTGAATAAAATATTACAACATCGCGTGGTCCGACGAAAAGGATACTAAAACGATTTATTGCGAAATAAATTTGAAGAGGGTTTCGAGCTATTCAAAATGTTGCAGTCAATTTTATTAACAATCTAGATGAAATATTTTTATCTGAGCAACAAACGAGAGAGGTTTAAGATAGCTTTATTTCGAAAGTTATTCTTAAGTTGCCACCTGTTTAGGAGTTCAAAATCATTTTAATCAACAATTTTGCATAAACAAATATTTTATATGGAAATCAAATCAGCGAGAGGTCTAAGAATGTTTAATTTCCAAAATATTTTTGTAGTGGGTTGCCACATGTTCGAAAATTCAAATCAATTTGTTTAACAAGTTAAATGAGATATTTTAAAGTGAGTGTTAAGCGAAAGAGTAAGTAAGTTTTATTTCTAAAATATTTTTTTGGAGAAAGGGTTGCCACCTGTTTGGAAATTAATAATCAGTTTAAATTACAAGTTTAATGAAATACTTTAACCAGGCTTTTAAATGAGAATTGTTTAAGGAATGTCTATTAAGGAAAATATTTTTGACGAAGGTTGCCACTTGGTTAGAGATTCGTAATGAACTTAGTTAATAAGTTAAACAAAATACTATATTTTGGGTGTCAAACGTGTTAGGTTTAAGAAATGTCTATTATGGAAATATTTGTGATAGAAGCTGCGACTTGGTTAGAAATTCGAAATAAAATTTACTAAATTAATTGAAATATTGTGTCAAAGATTTAAGTAAGTTTTTTTTCTTAAATACTTTTAAAGAGGTTTTCCCTGTTTAACCCTTCGTTAGGCGAACAACTTTTTAGTCACTTTCGTACCTAATGGGTCTGGCTTGAAACTTCAAAATTCTTTTAAAGATCCTGACTTTAGATTGAGAAACTAAACATGCTGTTCTACTATATTTGGTCCCTAGTTTTGGGAGTATATTATGCTTCTATTGTTTTTTATTCTTGATTCCTATTTTATTTTTATTTTAGAGAAAGTTAAAGAATCTTAAATCGCTACCTATTTTACAAATATCTACATTTATATCACAAGTAATATAGAAAACGGTCTGACCGGACCCGTCTGCCCAACGGAGGGTTAAATGTTACGATTTTATTAATTGAGAGATTAAATGAAACATTACAATGCGGATGTCCAAGGAAAGGAAATAAAGAAAGTAGTTAAATTTTTGAAGAGGCTCGCTAACTGTTTTAAAGGTCAAATTTTGTTTAGTCAATTAATAAGTTGTATCAGTGTGCGAGTGTGTTTTCTTATTATAACCCAGTCCCGATTAGCGCAACCTCGTCTACCAAGGTCCTTTTACAATTTTCGACAGGGTTAGGGACTCTCTTTAGGAATTGAAATTTTTTTTTTGACGTTGCAGTGTAAACTCTTTTCTTAATTCGATTGTTAGTTAGTTAGATATAGCCATAAGATCAAAGAAACAGTCTTACATACCCATAATTTTATGTATGTATGTACTTATGTATTTAGCTTGAAATACCTATATGTGCAAATTGAAATTACTCACCCTATAAATTGTGTCCACATTCAAATCCAACGGTTGTATTACCGTAAATGGCAACTTGAAGACTTTCGGATATCGGGCTGGCCGATCGATTGTGGTGATAATCTCATAATGAATCTGCCCATATTTTCCATCGAACGAAGTGGGCAGATTCTCTGGCAGTATTACGTGAAACGTATACGAATAATCGCCGGCCGACCAGTCCATACACGAACTGTTCGCACACGAACCGAGCACATACGAACGCGATGACAAGTACGAACGGTAGGCACGACACGTAGCACGTTCACTATCGCGCGGGTAACCCTTTTTTATCCAGCGTATCTTCGCATAACCATTAACTGTGATGTGGATTGCTAGAGAGAGCGGTGATAAAATATGGAGAATATATAAAAAAAGAGAGAACGAAAAAATTGTCACTCTATTATAAAAGTTACTTAGTAAATAAACACAGCAGATTGTCATTAAGATTAATAATGAATATTTGATGAGCAAATATGAGTAGCGGAAAGCTTAAATGGCATATGCGATATCTAAAGCAATCAATTTAATTTTCAAACATGCATGCATATGTATATATAATACATAAAATTAGACTGCATCTGCGTGCATATGTATGTACGTTAGGCCGGATCGATCACCATGAAAATAAAAGATTTCGTTAAATCAAACCAGCCTGCATAATTTGAAAGATAATTTTGAAATGGTTCGTGTTTTCTTTAAAAGTAAAAAGTAATGTGGCAACTCTTGTATAAAATTCTTTCAAAACAATGTGACAATTTAATATTTGAATTAACTAATGAACTTCGTTGTATTCGGCTTACAAATCAGGTAGTAAACCTCTTAGAAATTGTTTTAGAGAAAAGGCTTTCCTTAAGCTCTTTCGTTTGACACACGCATTGTAATGTTTCACTTTAACTTTTCACTTAATTGAACTGCAATTTTTAAGCTAGTGATAATAATATGAATATAGCTTACTAAAAGTTGTCTGCTTTTAGTGCTTCAAAAATTTAATTATACTCTTAGTTGAATATATTTTTAACTAGTAAACTGGTGGCAACTCCTTAAGAACTATTTTCGAAATGAGTCTTTATAAAACTTATCTAGTTTTACAGCCATATTTAATTATTTTATGTAAACAAGTGGAAACCCTCCTCCGAAATCTTTATTTGAAAAAAGCCTTCTGAAACCTCTCTGATTTAGTAGTATTTAAAAATATTTCAATTAACTTAGCAATTAAATTGGTTTTGAATTACTGAAAAGGTGGCACCGTACATTTTCGAAATGAAGCCTTCTCAAACCTCTGCTTTTTGATGCTCATATTGAATTACTTCGTTAAGCTTATTAATTAAATTCATGTTAAACCATTTTACAGGTGGCAGTAGTCTTAAAAAATATATTCGGAATAATGCTTTCTTAAGCAGTTTTCGTTATTTATATATTTATATATTATATATTTATTTATTTTATCTTGCTAGCTAAATTGACTTTTAATTTCTAAACAGGTGACAACTCTCGCCGAATATGTTTTCGAAATAAATTTTTTTAAACTTAGCTTTTGGCACTAATATTAAAATATTTAATTTAACTTGCAAATTAAATTGATTTTGAATTTATAAGCAGGTGGCACACACATCAAAAATATTTTCAAAGTTAATCTTTCTTAAACCTTTCTCGTTTGATATGGCATTAATATATTTGATTTAGCGTTTTCATTAAATTTTCTTTTTAACAGGTGGCAACGCTCTTTAAAAATATTTTTGAAATGAATTGCTGTTGAAATAATTTAGGTTTCTAAAACTATGTGTTCAACGATAAATACCTACATATCGTCGTTTAAAGTACAAAACCCCGTATCAACAAAATGCAACACCGCGTATCAGCAAAATGCGAAACCGCGTATGTGAAGTTGTAGAAATTATTTTCTATAGCGTAAAAACACTCATATTTCAAAATGTGTGAGCAAATCAAATTTTTGGCAGCCAATGTCAGTTACGTGGTTTTGCAGAATGATGATACGCGGTTTTGTACTTTAAACGACGATATGTACTTTTTGCGTGACCCAGCTTAATGTTCATAACTGCATATGGACATATGTAAATAAATAAATGACTTTACAGGGGCTCGGCAACCACACCCTACTCTAACGACATTTTCTGCTCACTTTAGTACGTACATATTTGCAAATGCAAACATAATTTTTCAGCCAGCGAAATGAAATTTTGAATTTTCTTTCGAATTAAGCTTTAAGCGCATAGAGAACTTAATTCTAATGGGTTCGCCTAGGTTCATGGTGAAACGTGCTGGACGCATGCCAACCAATTCAGCAATCAAAGCGCCAACGCGACTCACCATCGCGAAAGTACAAACTTATCTAAACAGCAAGCCCATCTAAATTAAATTGATACCAAGACGTAATACCTACATACATATGTACATATAAAACTAGGCGTTGCAAATGTTAGCGAAATTCAGAGTAAAATGTCAGAATTCTGCAAAATTAAATTACTTCACGTAGCAGAATGGCAATGATAAACACAAAAAAATACAAGTACGCCAATACAAGTGTATGTATGTATGTACATTAGACCATACCAGAAAAAAAATTATAGATACATCCCAGAGTTTAAAACGTAAGATTCGCCGCATTACATTTTTCGCCAAGTACCCAGTGCTAGTGCTTGACCACCAGATCTCAGTTCCTAAAGTATCACCCTATAGTTACTTAACTAGAGCTCTGCAAAAATCATTAAAGATTTATTCCAGTAGAACTATTAAAATGTTTTTTTTTTGTTGCCAAGTGTAGGTGTCCCCAAAAAATATAAAAAGGCGACCCTTGCCCTTCAAAAGTAGTTAGTTACGGCCAAAGGAAATAGTTAATAAATAGTTACCACTAGTCAACTGCTAGTTAGTTAATAGTTAGCTACAAACTAGTACCATTTCCTGCAGGGTAGTTCTGCAAAAAAATCTTAAAGTTGCTTTGCAAAAATACTTTGGACTGAGGAGTACAAAGCGAACTTTTTTTTTTGTTTGCTTGTATTGTTGTACGGTCTAATGTGCATACAAACATATGCATAAATGTACTCATAAAAGAAATGTGAATATTCTGCACTTTTTATTTCGAATTTCATTAATTTGCCTTAGTAGATATATTTCACCGCGCAGTCCTTACTTACAAACATAGACATAACCAAGCGAAAATATTTTAATAAGTATGTGCGTGCATTGCCACATGCCCCTTCTATGGAAATAGTACACATTTTTTCACAAAACTACTACGAATAAGTGGTACAACTGTTGACTCCTTACTGACTGCTGCAAATCTACTCTATTGCCAAGGCGCACTTTAGGGATTTTACGAGTAGTAAGTAATAATGGCATGTGGCGCGACAGGCATGTGTCGCCGCCGCAAGGTCTCAAACCGCAAAAATGCTACTTTGTTGGCTTGAAACACAAAATGTTTCAACTATAACAGCGTTAGTAGCGATAATTCTAAGAAATGAAACAAACAAAAAGAATTATCGCATTGTTCGAAGGATAAATATTTTTTTTTATTAACGTGCGAAATTTCGTCTCGCTGTCTACTACAATTAAGGGGGAATTAATTTTCAATTTTATCACATATGTAAATATGTAATTCCCATTAATGTGAAAAATATTGGTGCATAGTTGGTAATTTTTGTTTTCAAAATATTTTGTTTTGTTAGTATTCTGAATTTTTATCTGCTTCATCAAATTTTTAATCATAACTTAGTCAAAACAACTAAAGTTTATTGACTGCGGAGAGAGGGAAAACAACGCCGAAATACTTCTAAGGGGCAGCTAAGCACTCCGGCTATTTGCTAGTGCAATATATGTATGTATGTAAACACAGAACACGTTTAGCACGTAGCAGTAATATCGCCAAAAGCTATTCTATTTTCTATTTCTAAAGCGGGCGGGTAAGTTGCTAGTAAGGTATTGCACTTCACCCGGCGGTCTTTACCATTTCACTGACGACTCTGCCTTACTTTAACAAAGACGTGGCCGCCTTATGTAAGTAGGAATTTAGAATGTACATTTGGTATCAGACATACTTCTGAGCCTCTTTACAAAGTAAGTTACGTAAAATGCAGAGCAGTCGCCCGGAGTAGTTCGACGCTTGGAAATAACTTCGGCGGCACGTTATTTTGCAACTGACAACGTAATGCGCCATCGGAGGTGTTCAATTTTTGCTTTACTACTAGATGGCATTGGTCATGATGAGAATTTTGGTACTAAATACTGAAAGAAAACATAGCTTACCTCGCAAGGTGCTTGCCTATTTTCTCAGTGGGGTGTTTTACTTATTTAAGTGTGTACATTTTATTTAGATAGTTGTCTTATTTTTCCAGATTTTCCTTATATTTTATTTCGTCTTTATTACGGAGGTTAGATTTGTTTGGAAAACTACTTGTTAACCAAAATTATGCCAAAAAGTTTAAAAAAAAAGTCAGCGGTAACCGATACTCCAGAAATTCGATGTCCAAACATTTGTGTACGTCTTGGCAAAGCATTCGGGTGTTGAGTTACGCACATAAAAAGCTTAGGCACGAAGTTAAATATTTATTTCATTTAATATTATTTATTTTGTGGACAGCAATACAGGACTTTTCAATACCACTTCCTGTATAGTTCAGGATTATTTCGTGAGTAGTTTTGAACTATTTGAAAATGATCTTGAATTAGTCGCAAAATATTTTGAATTAGTCCTGAAGTGATTCTAAAGAAAGTTGTTAAATTGTCCCGAAATGATCACATCTTAGTCCGAAAATGGTCCCGAACTAAACGCGAAATGCTCCAGAACTAGGCCAAAAAATGGCGCTAATTAGTACCGAAATTGTCCTGAAATAATCCCGAAATGAGGATGAAATGGGCCTGAATGAGCCTCACAATGAACTTGAATAGTCCCTAGAGGAACAGAAAACCTAGAATATAATTGGTCAAGGGTAATGATCTTATTTTCGTGGCGAGATGCTTGGTGTGCTTGCAATCATGAAGACTCTAAAACCTGAAAAACACTTCGTCAACACTCTGACAACGATATCAGAGGTGAAACCCTCGGATATTATAAATTTCATTTAAAATAGCTAGTGATTCATAAAGTTAATGTATTCATTAATCATTTTTTCTCTTTGTAGAAACTACCCTAATTTGAGATCTCCTCTTAACACTCACTCATTGGCGACTTGTATGTCTTAATATCCGAGCTTGCAATCAAGAAGGTTCAAAAACGCAGAGTCACGCATCTTCAGCATTCCAGGAAGTATATCAGAGGACCTTTTCAGTTTTATTTGGAAGAGCAAGTCATTGAGGAGATTAATGCCTTGATTGATACTTTTTCTCCTGGTTATTAAACTTTCCTGGCACTCGTTCAGGACAGCAATTGAATATGAAACAAAGCAACGATAAATTCGAATATTTGCAAAAAAATATATGTATGTACATACTTATGCACATAAAGAGTGCAATTTTGTACGAATATAGATAATTGGGGCCACTGACCTCTTACTAGCTCCTACGCAAAAAAAATGTCGGATACTTGATGTAGCAATGCAGATGAACAAACTCACAAACGCAAAACAAAATTGGCTGGGGCTGGGTCAGTTCTGATAGGATGTCGCGTCAAAGAGCCGCTTGCGACGAGAAGGCGGACAACTAGGCGCGACACACATATGTAAATATATAACCAACTGTAGCAAAGATGGCGATGACGATAGCAACATTCATATGTATGTATGTATGTATGCTTGAAGGTAGCTAAATATAACTACATAGTCGTAAGTGGACATGAATTTTTAATAATATACACAGCCTCTTGGTGAATTCGTGCTTGCTGCAACAGTACAAAATTAAGTTATAAAATATTTAAAAAGAAAAGCGTATTAAAATGTAAGCTAAAGCGTTGACATACGCAAATTTGTATGCTATATTGTAACATGTAAGTTAAAGTTCCTAAATGATGACTAGCTAGAATTACAGCGCCAAATATAACAGCTATACATGCACATTTATGGATGAACATTAGGGTGGTTCTAACTTTTTTTAGCCACCCTCCAGAACTGAAGAATACTGAAAATAAGAAGACTCGTACTTTTGATTTTGAAATTGGTTAATATTTGACGGTGCCGCCACACAGTGGTTCAAAATTGGCATGTTGTGTTCATAATTCACTGGAGTCTTCATGTTTCATTCAATATGATTATTACTTTTTATACCTTTCATGAGCATGAAATGGTATTATAACTTTGGTCCGATGTTTGTAAGTACCAGAATAACAAGAGTTAGACCCATTAAAATGTATACTTTTATGATCAGAACGTCGAGCTGTCGTCTGTCCGTCTGTCTGTCTGTCCGTCTGTTTTTATGCAATCTAGTCTCTCAGTTTTCGAGATATCCGGATAAAATTTGGCAGGGTGGTGTATTTTTATAATGTATTAATCATTTGTCGGAACCGGAAGAATCGGACCACTATAACATATAGCTCCCATACAACTGATTGTTCAGATATGAGATTTTTCGTTATAACTTCTCCATTTATGCAGCTAGGAACATGAAATTTTGCAGTACTTGCACCCATTATCAACAGAATACTTACAGTGAAAATTACAAAGATCGGGTCCCTATAACCTATAGCTCCCATACAACTGATTGTTCAGATATTAGATTTTTTGTTATAACTCCTCCATTTATGTAGCTAGGACCATGAAATTTCGCGCTGTTTTCAGTCATTATCAACAGAAGACTTACAGTGAAAATTAAAAAGATGGGAACTATAACCTATAGCTCCCATACAACTGATTGTTCAGATATGAGGTCTTTTATCATAACTCCTCCATTTATGCAGCTAGGAACATGAAATTTCGCACCATTTTCACTCATATTAACAGAATACTTACAGTGCAAATAACAAAGATCGGGTGACTATAACATATATGTATCTTCCATACATCTGGTTGTTCAGATATGGGGTTTTACTGTAAAACTCCTTTATTTGGACAGCTATTTTATAAATAATAACACAAATTCTACTGAGAAAATCGTCAAAATCTATTCTGTATAAGCTTTATCTCTTATACCACTGATTGTTCAGATACCAGTTTTTGCGATATATCTCCTTTATGTAGGAAACTAAATCCAATAAATTGTGTTACCGGTTTACATACCGATCACATAGCAGTGAAAATCACTTAGATTGGTGCCATATAAAGTATATCTTCCACACCTCTGATTGTTTAGATGCGACTTTTTATATAAGTATGTAACTCCTCTATCGATGTATGCAGATGTATTCAAAAGCAGTAATCTGTCAAAGTAAAATTTGCAGATGTTCATGAAAGGTATGAAGCCTTCGGCATAGCCGAAGACAGCGCTGCTCTTACTTGTTTTCTAGTGAGAGCTAATAAAATTTACCAGGGACCAGTTGAGCCCGCTTTTTGATTTTTTTTTCGTTTGTATTCAATTTTTTAGTGCAAAATGCAGAAAAAGGAGCAATTTTGAAGAAAGTCGATCCTCCTATTCCAGTTAATTTAATAAAAGCTAATTGAAAACAATTGTAGGATTTCCCCAAACTACGAAATAAATCCCATTTGAAATTTTAATGGTAAAAAAAATGTTCACCGAAATTTAAAACAAATTCTTCGAGTTTCTGGAAGAATATATGGTATGCAGTTTTATCTCTATTTATGAAACTGCATACCTACCCAAATTGTTTATAAGAACAAAAAAAAATGTATTTTGGTGAAAATTTTTTTATAAACTACAAAACAACTCCCATTTAAGATGTTAAATGTTATAAAAAAATGTTGACCAAAATTTAAAACAAATCCTTCGAGTTTCAGCAAAAATGTAGGGTATGTAGTTTTATCTCTATCTATGAAAATGCATACCCAAATTTTTTATAAAAACCAAAAAAAAAAACAATTTATTTTGGTGAAAATTTTTCTATAAAATTTAGATTTTTTTTTGTAAATTTTTTCCCATTTTCGGGGAAGCCTACAATTATTTACAAGTGGTTTTTATTATGTAACATTTATTAACTGGAACAGGAAAATCGATTTTCTTCCAAAGTACAACTTTTTGTGCCATTTGCAATTCAATACGAGCAAACAATAATTAAAAAAATCGGGCTCAACTGATCTCTTGTGTGTTTTATTAGCTTTCATAAAAAAAAAATAAAATAAAAAAAAAGATTTCTGAAGGAAAATATTTTTAATTGAACAAAAATATTTGTAATTTTTCGTTATTTGTTTTTGACGATTTTTGAGCAATTAAAAAATGTAAAAAAAAAATAGTTTCGCCATATAAAAAACTTCAAAGCCCCAGCGATACTATCAAATATTAAACGATTAAAAAAAATAAATAAAAAATAGGGCTCTCCTTATTTTCGATTTTCTGCAGTGCTAGGGATGGCAGCGGGAAAATTCGAAAGAGTTGTTTTTCTTGTGCACTTTTGGACCATCCTAATGTACATATAAAGGCAACCCATGCAAACAACTTAATATTACAAGCATTTGTATAGAATAAATGCATATTTAGTATATAAGTAAGTACTAAAAATAAATCACCCTGCTCTCATTCACCCACTGGCATACTAGTAGGCATTGTTGCTTACCTTTAATGCGTTTTGTTGCATCGACGCTGAGGTCAACAACGCCGGATAGCTCCTGTCCAGCATAGTAAACACCTTGAGGATTATTATCAAAGGATATAAGGCACTCAATTGGCATATAACTACGTGACTCTCAAATTGATGCTATTTATATGCAGCTGTGTGGGGATCTATGTAGGTAGGTATGTTTGTATGTATGCGTCTGATGCGAGTGTGTGCGTGTGTTTAATTTAAAATGTTTTGTGAGTATTTGTTAGTTTAAAATAGGCGTATTTTTTTAGATTTCCTGCAGTTGTTTTTGTTTTTGCTGTTGATTGTATGCAACTTAAAGCAAATCTCACTAAATTTCATTTAATTTTCAACTACTTTTTTCTTCTGCAATTCCACCTATGTATGCTCTTCACTGTGTTGGTAGATAGTACGTCGCGTGATTCAGTTGGTTAGGTTTAGGTTACTCATACGCCTCGCGTGCCTTTTTGTATGTACTATGCAAAAAATATCTACATATTTCAATGGCATATACACACCAGCATATATTTTAAATTTAAACGCAGGGTAATTGCACTAATACACCTTTCTTCAGATTTTTCAGCTTTACTTTGATACTGATAAATTACTTATACCACAATTATATTTTAGCAAAATTTCCATTGTATTATTTCCATTGCATTTTTTTCACTTTAATTTAACAAAGTTTTTGCTCTAATTTTTCACATTGCGCACATAAAATTTTTTTTGCATATATGTATACATATACCATATAGATGTAGCTTATGTTGCTTCTTCTTCTTCTTCCGTACCGTCACTTAGAAATAGCTTTGCGCTTAAACACGTTCCGCACACTCGGACATCCAACAGCCATTTGCGAGTAAGTGCTTACTTGATTTGACAGCTTGGCACATCGTCATCATTATCCTTGTGCCGTATTTTGCTTTTTTATATTCTCTTTGCATCCACTATAGCATGCTCTCTTTACTACGTCTTCTACCTCTCTCTTTCTTTGTTTTTTTCGCGCGGCACTTTATACATTTCTATTTTGTTTATGTTCCTCATTGTTTATGTTTTTTTCACCGCATGGATATTTTCTTACTTGCACTGTGTAGTAAATACACACTAAAGGACCTGTCAACTCATCTAAACATGTATGTAAAACTATGCTTGTATGTGTACAAATAAATACATGTTTACCAATCCTTCTCGTAGTAGTGAGTATTGTGTTGCCACTGGTTTCGAATTTTCTCTTGGCGGTAAATGTGTAAAGTTGGTTTTTGAGTTTGTAAAGATACACTTTGGATAATGTTTAGATAAACCTATATTAACGGCATATTTATAATAATTAATAGAAGGGGAATCAAAGTGTTGGCATACGCGGATAATGTTTTAATAGCAGCTACGGACCCATTACTTTTAAACCATAGCGAAATATTTGAAAAAACAAAATAAATCTGCGAGGAGGGGCCTAAATTTGAACACAGCCAAGAAAAAAGTTATCCTATTTACGAACAGAAATAAAAAAACCAAAACTCAAAATACCTTCGCAAGGCGGCCAGACTCCCGCATTACCACCCAGTGCAAAGTATCTTGGAGTCGTGCTTGATAGCAAACTTAACCCTTTGTTAAACTAGCCACCCGATTAAAATACGATTATTTTGTCTAAAATAATAATAAATAAAAAAAATATTAAAAAGCAACAAAGTCTAAGCGGTAGAAGTTATAGCAGCTATTTCGGAGATCACCACATCTCTTCATCAGACTTCGTTTTTCTAGACTTTTTCAATTTCTCCTAATAAACAATCGTGGTACAAAGCTCAATAAAAACATAAAAATTAAAAGAAAAATAAATAAAAATTATTCTCGTGGCATGGAATAGTTATGTGGCATTTTTGGTACATACACGGTTTTGCTTCTTCGGTCCAAAAGAACGTATTTTCAGCTAAAATTGCATATCTATTCTTAACTTTGTAGTTGCAACAAATAATAAAAAATAATGAAAATTGTAACACCCGTTCAAATATATTCGTCACTGAAATAAAAATTTGCATGGAGTAGTTGACGTAAATTAGCAAATGCAAATCTATTGTATGTACATATCTACACGTGTATAGTATGAATGGTTATATTTTTAATGTATGTTGTAGTTTAAATATATTTTTATATATACTTTTTTATTTTTTTGTTAAAAAATATTTAATTTTTTATGCTGATTCTCTTTAGCGAAAAAAAGTCTTAACCTCAGTTATATTGTGGATTTAGATAAAAAAATAAACCTTGAAGTTGTTTCAAAAACATTACTTGAAACCATGCTAAAAATATTTATATTTTTTTGTATGTACATATTTACACTTCTACAGTATGTATGTTTATATTTTAATGTGTTTTGTAGTTTAAGTATATTTTTTATATATTTTTTTATTTTTTGTTATTTTATGGCCTTATAACAATTATATTCAACAATTTTT